CTCTTTCATTTCCAACTTATTATACCATGTATGTCCTGCTGAGATTCTTCTAATGCACTCATCTTGGACAAGTCACATAACCTAATACTTATTTGAAAAATGACAGACTAAGTCACTGATGGTAAGATATGGCATGCCTGGTATGCCTATACACCCTCAACTTGCCCATGACAGATATTGCTAAGCGATCACTGTAGTAGGCCAATAATGAGTCCACATCCTAATCCCAGGAACTGGAGAATATGACCTTATTTGGAAAAAGGGTCTATACAGATATGCTTGAAGTTAGGGATTTTGAAACAAGGAGATCATTTTGGTTACCCAGGTGCATGCTAAATGACATCACAAGTACCCTTATAATAAAGAGGCAGAGGGATATTAGATCCAGATACACAGAGGAGAGGACAATGTGAAGAAGGAAACAGAGATGAGCGTGATGCAGCCACAAGCCAAAGAAAAACTAGAAGCCATAGGAGGCAAGCAACAGATTTTTCCTTAGAGCTTGTGGAGGGCATGCAACCACACTAACACCTTTATTTCATGTCTGGACTATAGAAATGTGATACATTTCTGTTTGCTAAAGTCACAAAGTCTGTGGTAACTTGTTACAACAACCTCAGGAAACTAATAAAATTATTGTATTCTTTCCTGTCTGGACTGGATGAGGACTCAAAATCCTTCTCAATTTGATGCTTTCGGCAACAAAAAACAATTTACTGGAAGGTAAAGGTGAGATTAAACAGTGCTGCTTTGATTTTATACATAGTTTTAAAATTAATGTTGCTACCAAACTTTATTTAGAGTGTACTTTATTAGTCTAATCTAAATGATACAGATACTTTTAATTCATTTAGAAATTAACATACCAATAGCAAAATTATATAGTAATAGCAAAGAACTTATAACAGTGCCTACCAGACTCTTAAAATGTTGGTATTAGTCCTCTCTTCAGCAGCACATGTACTAAAATTCAAATGACACAGAGAAGATTTGCATGGCCCCTGCTTAAGGAAGACATGAAAATTCGTGAAGCAGTCCATATTTTTAAGAAGTTTTTTGCACAGCAAAGGAAACCATCAATAAAATGAAAAGACAATCTACTGAATGGGAGAAGATATTCGCTTATGACACATTTTGATAAGGGGTTAATATACAAAATATATTAAAAACTCATACAACTCAATAAAAAAAAAATCCAATTAAAAAATGGGCAGAAGACCTGAATTGATATTTCTCCAAAGAGGGATTACAGATAGCCAATAGACATAAAGATATTCAAGGTCACTAATCAACAGAAATATGCAAATTAAAATCACAATGAGATATCGGTGTGAATGGCTATCAATATATCAAAAAACAAATGTTGGTGAGGATGTGGAGAAAAGGAAACCTCACACACTGTTGGTGGGATTGCAAATTGGTACAGCTAATATGGAATACAGTATGGATTTTCCTCAAAAAATTAAAAATGGATATACCTTTTGACCCAGCAATTGTACTTCTGGGTATTTATTCAAAGAAAACCAAAACGATAATTCATAAAGATCTATGCATCCCTAAGTTCGTGGCAGCACTATTCACAACAGCCAAGATATGGAAGCAACCTAAATGCCTACCAGCAGATGATTGGATAAAGAAGTTATGGTTCATATATACAATGAAATATATTAGCCATAAAAAAATGAAATTCTACCATTTGCAATGACATGGATGGATCTAGAGGTTACTATGCTGAGTGAAATAAGTCAGACAGAGAAAGATAAAGACCATATTATTTCACTTATATGTGGAATCTAAAGAACAAAAAAACAAACTAATCAAAAACAGACTCAAAAACGTAGAGGACAATCTGGTGAAGGCCAGAAGGCAGAAAGCAGTGAAGGGTTAAAGAAGTACAAATTAGTAGTTGATAGATGGTCACGGGGTTGGGGAGCATGGCATAGGGAATGTGGTTAGCATGAATGTAATGGCTAGGTGAAGAGCCAGAGGAGAGAAAGAGCAATTAGGGGGATCGTTTCATAAACTATATAAATGTCTAACCAATGTACTCTATACTTGAAACTAATAATAAAATAAAATGCTAAAAATATGGTAGTTATTATTACATTTGTATTAAACCCAATTATATCTAAAGAGAATTGAAACTGTTGAATAGTAAAGGTCAAGAGTCTGGAAAACAAAGCTACGGGGTAACTGGTCACTTTGACCTTTTAAAATCCAGTGGGGACATTTGGATTGCAGGTAGGAAATCTGATCAGAGAAAACCAAATGGTTTTCCTGTCAGCATTTTAGAAGCTATGCTTTTCTTATTTAAGCCAGTGGTGAGTTGGAAATATCTCTGCCCACCTTCAACATAAAATAATCGTGAAGAATTAGGAGAAGGCCAAAAGTAGCTTATGGAGTTGCGAGAGAACTTCATGGGCTACATAAATTTGTTCTATGACAAATAGTAACCACAATAACAATAATAAAAATACATAACAATCTTGCTTAAAGTAGATGATGGAGACAAAAAGGTACTGGCAAATGCTTGTACAGTAGTCGCCCCTTATCTGTGGTATTGCTTTCTGCAATTTTACTTACTTCTAGTCGACCATGGTCCAAAGCTATTAAATGGAAAATGGCAGAAAAATTCAAAAGTTTTAAATTGTGTGATGTTCTCAGTGTGATGAAATCTCATGCCATCCCTCTCCATCCCTCCCAGACACTACTCTTCAGTTAGTCATTTAGCAGCCATCTTGGTTATCAAATCGACGCTGTAGTACCTCAGTGCTTGTGTTCAAGTAATCTTTATGTTACTTGATAATGGCCCCAAACTGCAAGTGTAGTAATGCTGGCAATTTGGATACGCCAAAGAGAAGCTATGAAGTGTATGTAAGCAGAAAAAAAAAATCATAACATATGTAAGGTTTGATACTATCTGTAGTTTCAGGCATCCACTGGGGGGGCTTGGAAAGTATCCCGTGTGGATATAGAGGGACTTCTATAGTTAGGGCAGAGCTACTCTATAGTCTAATAAGTAATTTTAGCAAAGTTATAGAGGAGAGAGAAGCACAGAGATGTCTACAACTAGCATTTCAGGACTGATACAGAAAAATAAGCTTAGCAAGGTCCAATATGAATCTTTTGCAGAGGACATTACAATATGGCATAAAGAATAACAACATAAACATACTAGAACTAGAATAAATCATCTGAGACTATAGATTCTACTACTAAGAAGGAAGAAATAATTATTAACTTCCAAATAATATCTATAGCTTTCATTTTGTTCTCTCTTTTGATAAAGATCAATTTCTATAAGGATTAAGCCGTTGGGTACATACTGTATTTAGTTCATCTACTAAAGAGCTTACTAGTTCTTAGTAAACATATTTATGGACGCTCTAAAGTCACCTATCAAATAATTCCTTCAGATCATAATAACAACCTCTATTTTTTGTTGAAATAGCAACAATACTATTGATTTTACGTATGAATTCACTTAGTTTTCAGGACAATTTTATCTTGTCTAACAGATATTATTACATCAATTAACTGATAAATAGACAAGTTTGAAAAGGATAAGCAATTTGCCAAGATCCTAAAGTAAGTAAGTAGCCAAGCTGGGATTTGAATCTGGTTCTCATTTGTATCTACAGCCAAGGCTCTTTCTACTATGTTGTCTCCTCAGGAATTATTAAAATCAGTTGGTAACCAGATAGACTCAGGTAATTTTGTGGTCATTATCCTAGTGTCCTATTAGGAACTGTCACTGATGAAATTAACCTGTTAATGGAATCTGTTCGCTGTGACATTCTAACAGGTATTAACTATCCTTTTTTGGATAAATCACAATTTATCCAAATTTTGGGCACAATTTGTCCTCAACTATTTAAAATTAACCCTCCAATAATAATATGCTAAATAGCCCTGCAGAAAGAGATTAAGACTAACTCATGTCTTTATTCTCATTTCTGCACAGAACTTGATTTAGGAGAACTTGATTCTAGGAGTGCTGAGTCAATGATTTTAAAAGTTCAATTTAACTTAAGATAGATAAGAACCTAGTAATTTTGGTAATAGCTCTTATTTAATCACTTAGAACTTTATGATTTGCTATTTTGTAAAATCTGAGAAAATAATACTTAATTCTGCTTTCCTAGATACAGCATCTTCTTTAAAGGAAGACATCTACTGTGTTTCTAATTTGCAAGAATAATCTGTTAATTAATAACGATTATATTAAAGGCATGTACTAATAAACAACTAAATAAAATTAGGTAAATCTTTCCTTCATACCTAATAAAATATCTTATATACACTACTGGTAAAGAGCAGGCTGAATTGTGTTCTTTACAATTCATTCAAGATAAAGTAGTGAGTGGCTTTAATTAAATCTTCCATTTTTCACTTACCAGTCTCATGGTCATATAGGATAATTCATATATAGAAATCATTTGTCCTATCATTTCTTATTTCCTCCACTTTTTATAATGAGTTTAATTATCATCATCAGATATATTAAATTGGAAAACATGATTTACATGCACATTCTTATAATAAATATTTAAGTCAATGTTATTTTAATATTCTATACCTATCCTGATATCAAGGGCATTCAGTTAGAGGCAATTACTAGTAAAAACCTGCATTAATGTTATTTATGCTTTTATGTTTTTAATATTATAGTAGTAAATAATATTACCACATACTCAGGCAAAAGAAGTTATAATAAACCCAGAAAGAAACAAATATGGTGTCACAAATGACCTCTGTTGCTAATATCTTTGCTTCAGGAAGCTATGAGTCAAAGGATTGTTTGGCTTTGTGGCTAGACACACAGTATGTGGGGGTTAGTAAATGGCAGTGAAAAATTGAGCACCTCATGAAAAATTCTCTGCAAGAAAGCATCAAATCCTGAATATAGCCATTGGAAAGTAACCAATATTTTAGAAATGGAATGGTATCATAGATTAATTAACCTAGGAAAGGTTAATTCTTTGTAATTATATTCATCAGCAGCAAACTCAAACAGTAGTGCAAGGCACTATAGTGATTATTATGTTATATATTATTTTATTAATAACTGTATAGAGTTAAGGAGTATTCATAAGGAATAGCTGGACATTCTTTCATTCATTCATAACTCATTCTGAATATTAACTGAGGATTACTATATATACTGCATGAGGGCACAAAATTAAAAAGACATGTTCTATTCTTTAAGTAGCTAATCCTAGAAGACTTTCAATTTTCTAAAAATAGATTACAAACATCAATAAGAATTATGACAAATATCTATGATGCAAGTTTTCTATAATAATTCATTGAAGACAGAAATTGCCTTCTAACTGAAAAAAAAAGTGAATACAAGAATACAAATAAAAGTTTTGTTGAGGACAAAAATCTGAGAGTGGATGCTAGTATGTGAAAGGAATATGTTATCAAAGAATAAATAACATGGGCGGGTGGTGTGACAAGGAGAAAGAGATAGGGACACTGATTTACACAAATTCTTTTCTAGAGTCTGCTCTGTCTTTTACTAGTTATGAGATAAGAAATGAGTCATTTGCATTGTCAAATCTTAGGTTTCTTGGCAGAGAATCCATAATGCCCATCCTGTGTAATAATTTCATATAATATATCTGAAACAATCTAGCCCAGAGGCTGGTACATAAGTTATTCAATATAATTAGTTTCCTTTTCTTCTAAAATTAAGAAAGTGGGAAAATGTCACAGGTATGGGATTATAGAGAGTATCCAGTTCAGGACAGCACCATAAGGAATAAAATGTAAAGTGGGCTGGAACCTGAGCTTTTTGGAGTTTAAATAATAGGCTGACATTTGGATTTTATCTAAGCAAAATGAAGATCGACTGAGTATTCTTGACTAAAAACTCAGGTAATCTGGCAGCACTGTCTGTACCAGGATAAATCATAGATTAAGTGTCTGAAAGCCAATAGATGGTTTGGGAAGCTGCTGTCCATTAATGAGGTAATGGGATCCCAGCAGAGACAGCACATCTTGAGAAATCTGAAATAAACGCCTAGCTTGCCAAAGGCAA